TGTTCTCCAGATGCCCTCGGATGGCCTTGCGCATCATGGTGTTCTTGCCCATCAGGACCACGGCCTTCCCGCGGAGGGACATGCGGATCTGCTGCATCTGCTTGGAGCCCACATTGTCTGCTCCCACAATGAAGCATTTTGGATAATCATCCAAAAGTTGGGTCATTTTAAGGAAGTAGTTGGACTTCCAGGTCGCCCTGTCTTCCCTGGGAATCACGGTGGTGCGTCAGAATTGCCACGCGGGGTTTAAAGACGTTGTCACCCTAAGAGGATGCCTGGCAAGAGCTCTGCAACATTTACAAATGGCCTGTCATTTTAACCTGGTTTTATACCATAAAACCGTATTTTAAAGACGTAATTTTCATTACAAGTCAACATACGTGTACTTCAACTACAGAACACTGATCTGAGCTTTACACGTCCTGCTTTTTCCTTCCAAGAGTGGAATGACTCATTTTAGGAGCAAAAGCTCTAATATGATTTTTAAATCACAATCATCATGGTCCTTAGATAAAATATCACACATAAATAATGCACTGAGTGTTAAAAAAAACATAACATGGTTGAATACTGTCTGTGATTTTTGCCAGTGGTAGGTCAATTCTCCCACACTTTGCTTGGTTGTAAATCATGTGACTGCAAATTTATTATACATGGATCACCACCATTACGGTTGTGATCAACTTGACCCATCACTCTAATTCACATAATTTCCCCTTTGGTTCCATGATAGCCCTTACACTTAAAACAGGGAGCCAGGAAAACCAAGACTTGCAGTAAATATTGTTTCGGAGCCGGCTGTCTCACTTCCTCCCAGCAGGCCCTATCATCAGCGTAAGAGACCCTTATTTAATCAGAATATAAAAGAATACAGATAAAAATTTAAATACAACATGCTTTAGATTGCTAAGTAACTAATTCAAACATACCCTAGACAGCTGGAGTGGGTTTATTTATTTAACTGCAGAGGAAAAAGAGAAGGAGAGAAAAAAAAGAAAATCCCTTTGAAGTAGCTGCAAAAATAAGCTGCATACACAGCAAACTGTCCTAAATATCTAACACACGCAGAAAAATCATCCACAAGTATGCCATTACTAGGAATTATAACTTCAAGGGAAAATTAATAAACATTTCTTTCCAGGCTTCTGCTATAAAAAAGTTAATCACCATTAGGAAAAACCAATAAAGTCAGATGTCCTACTTAGAAAAAAGAACATAAATAATAACCTTTAAGTAATACAAATGGATTTATATTGTCTGAACGAATGCTAAAAATTCTGTTTTCTGGTTGCTGATCAAGAGTCTAAGAATAAAATATCGAAAACAATAATCTTGAATGTTCTCCACAAAACCAGGGAAGAAAAACACCTGGTGGTAGTTTGATGTGATAAAGCAAATAAACCCTTTAAATTGATTTCCCTATCTCACCATCATTTACTTAGTCCTTTAATCTCATAATCTGCCATGATTCTAAGAAGTGAAGAAAAAGGTTTGTTTCCTAGTCCTTCTCAAAATCTCACTGCCGTCGAGCCAATGCCGACTCATAGTGATCCTCTAGGACAAGGTAGAACTGCCCCTGTGAGTTCTAACTCTATAGAAAGCCCCGTCTTTCTCCCTGCTGAG